GAAATTTCATCATAAGCCATTACAGTCCATCAGTTTCTTCCACACATTACATTAATTTAATTGATTTTTTAAATGTAGATTTATCATTTGCAGTGGCCTGGCATAATAAATTATAATAAATTATGCATCATATCCAATTTGCTGTTACTTTTAATTAAATCATTGTTGACTGGGACAGAGCCTCCTGGGTACTGCTCTAGGTGTGAAATACCACTACACTGCCCCATTTAAAATAAAATCAGAGAATAAGCCACCTGTGCTTCATCTTATTTTGCATGTTCTGTACTCACTTCTTTTTGATGGCCTATAATTAACCACAACAATTAAGATGATCAGGCAAGAACATATTGGTATCTCATATGTCAAGCAGAGCATCTTTAGGAATACAAATAGTTGTTCATTAATTATAATATTAGTCATTTAATTAGGACTCTTACATGTGGTTACATTTAACATAAAGCCTACTTTCTTGTCCAATTATTTTCATCCCATACCATACTAGACATTGGTTTGATTCAGTGATCAACAATTGACAACACAACTGATTGTGGTACAATTGAGATGGAAGTAGCAAAGGTTTGTTTTGTTTTTCAAATTGCCAATTAGAATTCAACCAAGAAATCTTCCAATAGTCTTGTAGGTGGGGAATGCATGTAGTTTCAGGCTGGCCTCCTGTTCTGTCTGCTTTACACCATCACAATTCATTTTTATGGTTTGTTTATTTATTTACTTACTTATTTATTTCATTTTTATGCATCTGTATAAAAGCTACTCCTTGATTATATATTAAAAGCCTGCCTGAATAAAAATATTTTTGCTTGCTGGTGAAATGAAAGGGGGGACAGCCTAGCCTCCCATGGAAGGACATTTCAGAGGGTGGGATTAGCCACCAAAAAGACACACTCTCTCTCTCTTTCTCATGTCCTCACCAAGCTTGTTGTGCACATAACAACCAAAAGTCCTCCCAAAAAAACTACCTTTTCAGCAGTGCAGACCTTCCATATACTGTCATTTCCATGTTGTCAGAGAACAAGGGAATGAGTAGAGATGCATCCACCTCTCTTCCTATATCTGGAAGCATTATGACAGGCATCTGCACCCTTTGGTAGCACATCCAAAGCAGTGAAAATAAAGCAGCTTCATTTATATACCACTTCATACAGTGCTATGCAGTGTCTAAGTTGTTTACAACTGTAAGCTCATTCCCTCCCCCCAACAGCTGGGTACTTATTTTAGCGACCTCAGAAGGATGCAGG